CCCCCCCCCCCCCCCCCGTCCGTTTCCTCCAGTTCTGTAATCCGAATTTCTGGTTTGGAGGCAAATCGCGGTTCGTACTGCTAAGAGAAGCAGCTCAATCAGCACCAAACCTTGGGGGCATCAGAGGCAGGTCCCAGACCACTCCTGGTTTTGCCAAGATGCAAAACAGAGACCTCACTGGGGAGGGAGGACCAACTCCTTAAACATCGGAAGCCCAAGGAGCTACGGTGCCTTTTATTTCCCATAGTGGCAGAAAGGGAATAAAATAACTTCAAAGAGTCAAACCCCACCACCCCGTAGCAGAGGGGACAAGCAAACGGATCAGGAGAAACGGAGAGACGGAAAACAAACTCTGAAATCAGACGACGTGGGTTCCTTCTGAAGATGTGGCCGTGAGTTCAGGTAGAGGCTAATATTTGGAATAGACTTCCCTGCTCAAGCAGGGGTTGGATTAGAGGACCTCCAAGGTCCCTTCCAACTCTGTTGTCCTGGTTTGGTATGTTACTAGCAGAGCCCAGCCAAGGACTCCATGTGTCCCCACGGGAGATGGTTGTCCTCGGTTCGTGAAGACGCACAAAATGGAGGAAGGAAGCACAGTTGGCATGTTGGAGCTGAGGAAAGTAGGTCAACAAGGCACCAACAGAAAACACCGCGATGCTACTACGGTGAACAAGAAAAGCTTGTTTGTGTGCGTCTGTAAGGAAGGGAGAGGGGCAGGAGGATTTCTGTTTCTCAGGACCTGTGAACTAACCCCAAATGTTGGCTAAGGGCCTCCTGCAGAGTCCAGGCATCCATGCCCAAACCAGGTGAACTCTGCTAACACAGTTGCCTCAAGCACAGCAATGGCACGAAGCAGCAAGAGTAAAAGGGAAAAGGAAAAAAAAAAAAAAACGGGGGAAATTTATACTCACCCATCGAGCAAGTAGGTTCTGTAGAGCGTGACCGTTTAATCGTGGCGCCACGGGAGGAAAAAATGAGGAACGGGACAGGGAGGAGGAAGACAACAAAAAGAAGGGGCTGTTAGTAAGAGCAGGCATAGTTCACAGCTCAATATCAAATCAAGTTTGTTACCGTCCAAGACCAGAGACCAGAACAAATAAGGACACTCAGGGAATATCCAGTTAAAAATTCTAGAATAAAGTAATGAATAACAGATAAAACTCTATATTAAAATCACAATTTGGCATCCAGTCTGTCAGTTTACACATGGGTGTCATGCCCCTGTCAGTTTGAATCCAAGGAGGAAGCGGCTGACAGGGAGTGGGAGTGTGGCTCCGTTGGCTGTGGAGGAAATTGGGGAAGGGCAAAATCCGGCTGGGCAGAGCAGGAGGGAGGTAAAACAAGGGAGAGGGAGTTCAGAGGAAGACCCAGGCCCACCCCCTCTTCATCCTAGGGCACGCAGGGAGGAACGGAGAAGGGAGCAACGTGGGTTGAGTGGCTTACGGGGAAGGGAAGGGCCCTGATTCCCTTCACCTGGGAATGAGAGTTTAAAAGAGATGCAAGCTGAATGAGGCATCTGCTAGGAACAAACGTGAGTTTATCTTGTTGACTTTAGTTATCTTGTGTTCCTGGCATCTTCCCAACTGTGCTGAGTTATTGCCATGCCTTCACGTCTGGAATTCCTTCTCCTGCCCTGCCGGATTCATTACCTCATTTTGCCTTGATTGGACTTATAGTTACAGTTTTTGATTCTCTGCAATTCCTGGGAGAATTTTGCTCCAGCCCAGAAGGTAACCAGGTTGGAGCTAATAAAGGGACTCCTACTGATTATCTGGCTGGGTTGCCTTTGTTCCATGCCCTTTGGGTCCTCACCCATGGCCTAATTATGCTAGGATATCAATCCTTAAACTGCGAGGCCCATAGTCATTAAATACTAAAGTCGTTAAATACTAAAATGCAAAAGAGCAGTAATGCAAAAGGATTTGCTATATTAGTTGTGTAAAACAACTAAGGTTATTTGTTTTGGTCTCTGGGCTTTGGTTGTAATAAACTTGGCTTTGATTTGAATTCAGCATCAAATTTGGGACTTTTGACCTGACTCCCAATTTCCAAGCCCATTTTATCCCGCGGTTAATGTATCACTGCAGGTAGTCCTTGACTTACGACCACAATAGAGCTCAGCATTTTTGTTGCTAAGTGAGACAGTTCAGTGAACTTTGCCCCACGCCACGGCCTTCCTTGTCACTGGCATTAAGCGAATCGCCACAGTTGTTAACCAGGTCGTTAAGTGAATCTGGCTTTCCCCCCATTGACTTTGCCGGTCACTGCAACCGTCATAAATATGAGTCAGTTGCCAAGCGACTGAATTTTTTTTGATCAGGGGGACCGTGGAGATGCTGCAATGGTTAAGTGTGAAAAACGGTCCTAAGTCTTTGCCGTTGTAACTTTTGTACGGTCACTAAACGGACTGTAGTGTTGAGGACTACCTGCACCGATTGGGCAATTTAGCCTGAAAAATATCTAAATGAGAGAGATATTATTTTCCCCCCACAAAAAACAGCGTCTCTATTCACTGTGAAAGTTCTGGAGATGAGTTCACATTTGGAAGAAAAACTAGCAGTAAACTCCTCCCTTAAGAAAATAAGAGGTTTCCAGAAGGAGTGGAGCCCAAGGAACACCCAGAGGGCATGAAGACGTTACACCTGCAAATCTTGGTTTAAGGCAGGGGTCCCCAAACTTGGCCACTTTAAGACTGGTGGACTTCAACTCCCAGAATTCTGAATCCTGGGAGTTAAAAGTCCACAAGTCTTAAAGTGGCCAAGTTTGGAGACCTCTGGTTTAAGGCCTAGCGTGACAGGCTTTAGTAATTCAACAAGCCAGGGCTGGGTAGGTTAAGCCAAGCCAGCCCCAGAAGCAGCACCTGGTCTCCTGAATCCACTGGTGGAAAGTGTTGGCATGCTGGGCAAACTCCTGGCGCAGCTTATCGTTCTCCTCCTGCCTGCGCTGCTCCTTCTGAAGTTCCAGTTCGCGTTCCTGGGGGAAAAAGGGAGAATGTGTCACGGAAGGAAGGAAGGAAGGAAGGAAAATGAGAAAGAAGGAAGGGAAATGAGAAGGAAGGAAGGAAGATGAGAAAGAAGGAAGGAAAATAGGAAGGAAGGAAAATAGGAAGGAAGGAAGGAAGGAAGGAAGGAAGG